ACCTTTGATATTTGTTATCATTATATTAGACTTTGATCCCATATATTAATAAATTTTGTACATCCGTAAATTAGGTTTTATTGAAGAAAGAAGGATGTGGAGATAACGTATCCAATATCAAAGAAAAACAGTAAAAAAGTAGCGAGCAAAACAAGGACCTCTTTTTGGTAAAGTTATATATGAAAAGCTTGATATGTGCTAGAAGTAATGTCTGTCATTTTTAACATAATGATGTAACAGCACTATATTCTCTCTGATTACAGCATTTGCTGATAATGTGGGTTTTTGTTTCTTTTGTTAAAATGTTGATTACGTTTCTCCCAAAAATGTTTATTTTTCTCTCAAATGAAAAAAAAAAACACCACTTGTCAAGTGAGAACCTCACTTATAATCGTCTCTCAAAGCCATCGATCAAGCAAAATTATTTTTCACAAATATATATACTGTTTGTTACAATTGTCAACTTAAACTGGAAAGGGTTTCCTTACTTGAAAGATTAAACACTCAAACCACTACAGAAGAAGATTATCATATACCTAAAGTCTGTTGAATAAAACAATGGTTTACATTAGCTGAAATTCACAATCATCCTAATTTCAAGATTTTTTATATGTATTTTTGTATGAAAAGTAATGTTTATACATCTATCATGAACAACTTAACTGTTGAACTGTTTTAATGAGTAATTGATTCAAGCATCTCGATATAACATCTTTTAAAGGGGCATAAACACAGTTTCAGCTAAAAAAATAATTTGTTTTAACATTTTTACATATATTTAACAAAGGTCTTTCTAATGATCATCAACAATTTGACTTCAGTTGGCGAGATACAAGGCATTGTTAGAGTTCAAAACCTTTGCTATGTAAACAAGGTGCGTGTGATGTTTTGTTTACATAAATTAATTTACTAATACATGTTCATTCAAAACAGATAATTTCAATGAAGACGTTAATTCTAAATATAATTAAACAGTTTCTAGTGATTTGGTGAATTTCATTTTGTTATAAATAAATTATTTTCTATATGTAAACAAAAACATGGCACGAGCCCTGTTTACATTTTGAAGAGCTTTAAGTCCTGTATCTCGTTTGTTAATCAATAAATGATTTTCAAATTTTTGCTGATCATTATATGATGCCTTACTTAAGAATTGTTAGCATTAGAATTGTTCTAAATAATTCAGATGAAACTGTGTTCAAGCCCCTTTAAGGTATTGTTCTTCATACTTCGAAAGTTATTTTTTTATTTTCAGCCATCTTTTTTTTGCCTTACATTATATAGGGTGCCAGGGGGTTAAAAATATCGGATATGCATTATTAGAATTAACCTTAACGAAGAATGATTTTTGAGAAATCTGACGACAGATAATTTATTTCAAAACTATGATGTGCCATTTCAGGTCAATGGCTGCACAGCGTTGAGATAAGGGTAGGAATGTCTTTGTCATGGTCTGAGATGAAAGTTTGTGGCACGTTCAATGGGACCAGTCAAACAGGACAAGATCACACAATCAAGTGTGAAACAGAGCCAGCCTTGTACGGAATGTACGTCACAGTAAAAATAGTCCGTCCCAACAACATAACTTTAGAAGGAAGCGGCATGAATGCATTGGTTTTGCGGAAAGTTGAGGTCAATGGATATTATGCTTGAATCAAAAACTCTCATTATCTGTGTCACATTAATATATTGCTGTGGGTCTGTTATGAATTACTTGTTCTCTTCGACTGTTTTACGTGCGAGAGATGTAGATATACCAAATTTCAATGAAGAGTCAAATCAGGTTCCTGATAATTTTGGTTCTGAACCGATTTTGAAAAAAATAGGCATTAAAAATTTCCTGAACTAAACGATAGATTGCTTTGGAAATACCCATTGCATTAACCTGTAATTAAACATTCAGTCATTGAAGAAAAATACTAGTAGTTTTTGCCTGTTTATCATATTAAGTATCTCAAGTTTTAAGAAGCTTGATTCCTTTAAGTACACCATGTACGTACGTGTTGAACAAACCATCTATTCAGTTTTTAAAATTCTATAATTTTTATTTTCAATCTTTCAGTCTGTTTCCTTAATGTTTTGTAATAAGTAATGTAATAAGTAAAAATTGATTTCAATATATGGCAAATTTTGCCTAAGAACGGGAATTATCGCGTTTAATATTTTGATACATTTGCTACATATAATCATGTATGAAACATAAAAAATAATGTGTCATCTTAAATCATCATTTTGTAGGTTCTATGGTCGACACAATGACTTTTTCAGCAAATAATATCAGCAGTCTCATTTTAATCATTTTGTAAGTTAAATGGTCGTTTCAATGACCTTGTTAGCAAATAAGATTTATTATTGAGTCAAATGCTGACTGACATTTTCCATCCTTACTGTTTCTCCATTATAATTCACTGATTAGACGGTGGATTTTTATGTTATTTCCCAATCAAGACAAGGAGCACGCGGCGGGTGTGACTGGTCGACAAGTGGATGCTCACTCCTCAATAGCACCTGATCCCATTTAATGTTTTAGAGGTCTGTGTTTGCTCTGCTCCTATTTTGTATTGAATTATGAACTTTTAATATTGAATACTGTAAACAAACATTTATTCGCTTGCGGGAAATTTTTGCGAAGTTCGCGAGAGCCTCGCCATCGCTAATATTTCTACTCGAGAACTTGTCCTAGAAGTCTCAGTGTCTTTTATAAAAAGATCCAAAAAAAGGCTTAATCGGGAAAATTTATCGTCGTGAACTACTTTGCATTCGGCAAATAGAGAAAATAAGTCGTTGCGAAAATAATTGTTTGTTTACAGTATACGTACTCTTTGTTGTCTCTATATGTGTAATTTTTCATAGCGTATGACAAAGAACAAAAGTCAGAAAGTACAATAAACGGCCTGTGAATTTCTTGAAAAATAAATCATCGTTTTCTTGAAAACTATTTGTGGTTTCCGTATCTACTCGACTTCGTCAATGCAGGGGTGGGTAGTTTTAGTCAAACCGGATAATGCTTCTTCATCGTAACGACTAAAACCTATAAGGGTTTTGACTTTTCCGGAATTTTTCACCGATTGTACAGATTCACTTTAAAATTTCAAGAGGGGCGCATTCCTCTCGGAAAAAAAAAATCAAGTATAAAATCAAACATTGGTATCTTACGCGTATTTTTCAACACGTTTTTTTTCTATGAGAGGAATGCGCCCCATGCGTAAATTTAATATTTACGACTGTCCTTTGCTCAGCTGCGCATGCAGAAAACAAATATACCTTTATATAATTCGATGTTAATAAAACCTCGCACGGCAAGTATTAAATTTTTCAGAAGATAAGTTATTGTTAATTACATGTATGTAAAAACAACCATAAATCATTTTTTAGCATATATGCATTATTTATGCGTGTTTATTAGGGTAGGCTAAACAGATTCTAATATAGCCTAGTTCTCAGTTCAAATAATAATATAATAAAATGTAGAAATGTTTTCGCGTTAGTCTATGCTTTCCACATCTGCATGTCTATTGTGGACCACTGTTAAACAGAAGTCCTCCAAAGTGGCCAGGTTATAGCTATAAGGTCTATTTGCTTTTATTTCTCTCTCAACATTTGTCAAGTCGTCAGTATTTTCTCGTGACGTCACTATGTACAGAAAATGACGTCAAAGTTTTTAGGGAACTTCAATATTTTTCGTACTCGTGGTGATTGTAGATCAATAATTTTAGATGTTCAAGAAATATCAATTTTTGAAAATTTTAAAGGAATCACATTATTACTATTCAAAGTTTACATAGTATATAGGCTTCAATAAGTATTCTGTGTGTTACATAATCATTATCGCTCATCGGGTAGATCGCAAGTGATTAACTTGTAAATGTCTTCAGGTCAGATGTATGTTTACTCAATCTCTTCATGGTTATATTTTGTTCAGACATTGATATTTTTCATTTAGACGTGTTCCAGAGAGCGCGCGAGAGAGTGAGAGAGACGTCCACTAATATTTCAATAATTTGTAGATTATGCTTTTTTTTTTAAATTAATTTTAGTAGATCTAAATGACTAAATGTATTCATAAAATCGTGATTTTCTAATATGTCAGCCTAAGTCTGCATGTGGCCTCCATGTGTATGCTTTAAGGTTGGTGATGTCTATAAGAATCCTGTTAAAAAGGCAATATATATTATAAAGGAATACTGTAATATTTAGCTGGCCTTTAAATACAAATATAAATTTATCAATTTATTATCCGATTAATCTCAAAAAGGAGGAAATATTTATGTTCTATGTTTGATGTATGAATAATCATGACATATATATGTTATTTAAAGAGTGGTTAAAAATTAGTTTTCGACTTCGCTCATCATAAGGTGTTTTCACAAAAAAAAGACCGAAAGTGACAAAAGAAAATAATTTTGTCCTAGAAGTCTTTCAGGGCAGGCCGTCCCTAAATAAATAAATAAATGATATTTCGATAGATTGGATGTTAGGAATAATTCAAGATCAGGCATCGATTTTAAAAGTGGGGGGAGGGGGAAGCTTTTTAACTTCCCTAAAAATCTTTACAAGCAAAAAAAAATAAAAAACACAATCCAAAACAAAAAGGGAAAATCAAAATTCCCTTTTTTCACCCATGGTTTACAATCTGAAGTCATTTTGGTCTTAAAATCCTTATTTGTGTCTCAAAAAGTTCCTTTTTTGAAGATTTTTCTTAAGTATTTGAGGAACGTTCCTCTTTATACACTTCAGATGCATTTGTTGTGACCAGAGATTTGAGGAAGGTTCCTCTTTCTACACTTCTGGTGCATTTGTTATCACCAAACATTTGAGGAACGTTCCTCTCTCTCTATCTTTGAACTTCAGATTCATTTAGTATGACCAGACATTTGAGGAACGTTCCTCTCTCTTAACTTCATATGCACTTGTTATGACCAGACATTTGAGGAACGTTCCTCTCTCTGATCTTCAGATGGATTTGTTATGACCAGACATTTGAGGAACATTCCTCTAGCTAAACTAAGATGAATTTATTATCACCAGACATTTGAGTAACGTTCCTCTCCTACATGTGCACATACAGCGTGTATTTTTAAATACTTTAAGAATCTTAACACATGAGACATTTGAGGAACGTTCCTCTCTCAAATTCACTTTTTCTGAAGACATCTCATGAATGGTCAAACATCAGGCATTAGAGGAACGTTCCTCGCTCGAATTTAATTATTACTGTAGGCACCTCAAGGATAGTCAAATATCAGGCATTTGAGGAACGTTCCTCTCACAAATGGTTGTCTCATGAATTGTCAAACATTAGGCATTTCAGGAACGTTCCTCACTAAAATCTAACATTGTTCACACAGGATACTTACACGTATGAGAAACGTTCTTCTCTTAGATTTGTATATGTTGATACCTTATTCATATTAAATTATGCATTTGAGGAACGTTCCTCTCACAAATGGTTGTATTTCTGTTGATTACTTATACCTCATAAAGCTTGCAACCCGTGCATTTGAGGAACGTTCCTCTGCCTTGTAATGAATATCTGTTGATACATTGCAAAGCCCACTTAAAAATATCTTTAAAGGAACGTTCCTCTCTAACATTATCATGTGTTTTGTGGTATCATATTAGTTTTTATCGTTCATGAAGAATTTGGGAAAATTTCTCTCTTTTATATGAAATGCAGTACATATTCATATTAGAAACATTTTTTATCTGTACACACTCTACAGAATATATATGAAAAATCATTTTGTCATTTTATAAAGTACTTTTTGAATTAAGGCTTTCTTAAAGCATACTATAAACTAGGTACAGGAACAAACAAATTTTTCCACTTCGGAACAAGCATGTACAATGTGCAGTGTTCATGTATCAACTCAAAGGGCTTTTTCACTGAATGGCAGTGTGATCACATATTACAATGTCTTGGTTAACAGGTTAATACCCACAGTATTTTTCCTTTCTTCCACGAAATTAAACCAAAGTTGTGATGAAGGTCAACCATGTTTCTTTCTTGGTTACATCTTTCCCTCATAATAGAGACGATTCCAATTCTTTGGTCTCCAAAGGTTCATAGCATTTTTTCATCAGTCAAAGTAAAACAGCCTCAACAAGTTTCTTGGGTGTCATCTTCTGTAGGAAAAATCTCACATTCAGTACAGCGGCATGTCGTATTATCAAAGATGTGAATCAGGCAAAGTTAGAATAATCGAAACAATGTGTACATAATAACAAGTTTAGATGTATCATCTAAAAATTAAATAGACTGGAAAAATCGATATAAAAAAATTGCAAAACTTAAATTAAAATTTTGAACTTTAAATTGCCCATGAATTATGAAAGCATTTCCATACTGTATTAAGAATATTGCAAAGAATCAGGGGCAGTAAGCATATATGAGCTGCCCAATATTTTTAAAAAAATTTTATACCAGTGCTATCCTTAAGTTGGTTTATTTTTCATATAACGAGATGTCCAGTTTGATGTAAATAGCAATAAAATTTTCAACATTTGATTTGTAGTTGAGTTATCACGATGTGAAGTTGTGTGATTTTTCCGGAATTGAGAAATTTCCATCAAATTCTCACATTCAAAACAAGATTTAGATATGGCCGCACGCAAACAACACGATAAAAATTTAATAGATTGTTTAAAATGGCACAATTAATTATTTCCCAAAGTATCATTCTGTTGTTTGCATGCGGCCACCATGAAAAATATATAAAACGGTGTTTTTTGAGGCCGATTTTGATCGCTTCCGGTTTCGGTTTTTACATTCAGACGTAAACAAAGTTGGAGGAAACAGAAAATGTGACAGTAGATTTATCGAAGTTCTAAACATTTAACAGGTAGGGATGAATTGAAAATCAGAGCAATTGTAATTTTACATGCACTGTTTAAAATTAAATCCCCTTCTATACTTATTAATGATAGAAGATTCGACATGACAGACTCCGCTAACTCCATGAACTCGGGGGGACGGTAATCATCACATGCATGTCAAACAGTTGAAAATAGAAAATGTGTATCTAAAATATATCAAACAGGAACACAACATGCTATCTTCTTTCAAAGAAAAAAATAGATTATAAAAAAAATGACTTAATCATCGATATCATTCTTTTTGATTTAGACCCTAATATTCATGATTCATTCATGAACCCTCGATCGGCCGGTTGATCTGCATGATTAGCCGCGTTTTATCAGTTGTGAAAATCTTTACATATACGGCATTAACATATAAATATACTTCATTTCTAGGTTGGTGTTTATAACATATTTTTCTGTCTGAGAACAAATACAACCGAGTCTAGCGTTTGTGTATTCAAGTTCAATTCAAGAGACCTTACCCTGGTACCTGTGTACTTTGTGTAAACATGGTAAATGTATGGTGTGCTATAACAGTCAAAAATTTAAAAAAAATGGTAAGAGTTTTTTTTTTGTTTTGTTTTTTTTTTTGTGTTTTTTTTTTATGTTAAACCGTTAAAGAAATAAAAAAAAATGTTTCTTAAAAATAAGCTAACATCACTAAATCTAATTAATGTTCTTTGCAGAATAAACAATATAAATTCTTTCTATTTTTCTTGTGGGAACAATGTATTTTTGTTGTTTTTTTTAACTTATTAATTAAAATATTATTAATGTAAAATTAAACTATTGCAAGTATTAAAAATACTTAAATAATTAAAAAAAAATGGAATAGTATAAATTCATGTAAATCACCATTTAAATGAAAAAGAAATGTTTGTCATTACAAGGTTCATCTTTTTTGTTTTAATTTAAAGTACCTAATAATGTCTTTGCCTCAGATTTTATTCATTAAACTCAAATAGGTAAATCAATAAAACTGCTATTTAAATTGATTTCATGAATGAAATAATTATATATTATACCTGGTGATATTAATAAATTATTCCCTTTTTCTCATATATAAAGAAAATCTTATGCAAATGTATATACACTGTACAAGTAACCCCCCTCATTCCATAGTTATAGACAAAATGTGCATAGTTACATAATATATAAAGTAATTTAATTTTGATATTTATATTTTAATTGTAGGATCCCTGGAGATGGTCCAAAACAATATCCTGTTACTGGAGCTGTTACTTGTTGGTATTGTCAGTGTCATGCCCATGTGGCCTCAGTATTGTGGTTTCTTGGCTATGAAAGACGCACAAACTTTGCAGTAAGACCTATTCAAGACTGGGCTGACTACCTTGAGGATGCAGCTGTGCAACCTGCAGTAATGGATGGCTCAACAGAAAGTGAAATGAGTGCAACGGAAGAGTGACATGAATTGTGACATTGGTTTATTGAGAGTGAACATTCTGCAGATTATAGGAGTCTCCATATGAATGAAAATTCTCAAGAGGGACGTTAAACAATATACAATCAGTCAATCAATCCGCAGGTTATAATATCCACTGCATTAGACTCCCATTATTGTTTTCAACAATATAGTGGAAGGCTGTTTATATATTGTTATTAATTAATTGTAAATAGGGATTTTTATGTATCTATGATTTTTTTTTATGCTTAAATTGTGATTTCTTAACATCTGTTATATAATTGAGAAATTAAAATATAGTACATCCCAAAAACATATTAGATTCATTGCATGAGTTCAATAAGTTCAGTTGTAAATATTGAAAGATGAATTATGTACTTTGACAAATGAAATGATTTGTTATTATCATATGATTAATTGTTATCAAAATTAATATACTGATGTAAAATGCATAATGTATCACAAAATATTTCTCAGATAATAGTAACAATTATAGTTTATTATGCAATGTGTTTATTTGCATATTGAACTTTGTTAATAATTAACATGACTATATAATAGTACTTGTTATTTTTTGTAATACAATGTAATTACAAAACCTTTCCAGACAAACATGTACTAGAATAACTAATTCTTTGATGCTTAGGTCATTTTTATGACATTGTGAGGATGATAAACATTATCTTATTATGAGTAAACGTAGTGTTTAAGGCATGAGTGGTGTGATGTTAAACTTCTATCAATGATCTTTTTGGAAAAAGTATAGGTGGACGATGGGAGTTCTGGAATTTGTTTATGCAAACTGAAATCCCTCATTGTTATTTTTGTCAAGTTTAATGAATTGTTATTTAAAATGTTAGTTGAATACATTTCTTGTTTGTTCACTTTGTGCATTCAATGTATTTTTATGTTAAATACATACAAGCAAATTCAAAGAATTGTGGTGCCCCGCTTTCGGTGTCTTTGTGAGTGAGATGTTATTTTTTATGACATATTGTGTCTAATATGAACACCCTATCATTTGTCATTTATTTAGAAATTATCATTGAAGTTGATTTTTTTGAAGGATGAAAACCCTAATCCTGACCGTTAAAAACTTATGGCCAAAGTGAAAGTTTTTAAAGTAGGTCAACTCCAAGGTCAAGATCAAAGGGTCAAAGTTGTAGATATCCAATGAAAGGTCTTCTCACAAGGATTATGTATGTGAAGTATGAAAGTCCTTGCCATTACCGTTCAAAAGTTATGGTCAAGGTTAAAGTTTATTCATAAGTACGTAAATCTTTAAGGTCAAGGTCAAAGTTGTTGATATCCAATTAAAGCTCCTGCCACAAAGAATATATATGTGAAATATGAACGTCTTATTATCTATCGTTCAAAAGTTGTGACCAAAGTTAAAGTTTTTTAAAAGTAGTGAAAACTTCAATGTCAAGGTCAAAGGGTGAAAGTTGTTGGTATCCAATGAAAGGTCTTCTCAAAGGATTACATATGTGAAGAGGAAAGCCCTAGCCCTCACATTTCAAAAACTATGGTCAAGGTTAAAGTTTATTCATAAGTATGTAAATCTCAAAGGTCAAGGTCAAAAGGTAAAGGTTGTTGGTATCCAATGAAATGTCTTGACTCAAAGAATACATATGTGAAAAATAAAAGTCCTAGTATCTACTGTTTAAAAGTTGTGACCAAGGTTAAAGTTTAAAAAGTAGTTAAAACTCCAAGGTCAAGGGGTAAAAGTTGTTGGTATCCAATGGAAGGTCTTTTTACAAGGATTACATATGTGAAGTACGAAAGCCTTAGTCCTCACCGTTCAAAACTAATGGTCAAGGTTAAAGTTTTTTCATAAGTACGTGAAACTCCATGGTCAAGGTCAAAAGGTCAAGGTTGTTGGTATCCAATGAAAGGTCTTGCCACAAAGAATACATATGTGAAATATGAAAGTCCTAGTACCTACCATTCAAAAGTTATGGCCAAAGTAAAAGTTTGGAATTTTTGTGTAAAAGTGGGTTAAACTTAAAGGTCAAGGTCAAAAGGTCAAATTTGGTGGTACCCAAAGAAAGGTCTTGTAACAAGGAATACACATGTGTAATATGAAAGTCATAGCTACACTTAATCAAAAGTTATGGGCAAGGTTAAAGTCTTTGTGACGGACAGACTTACAGACTGACAGACAGACGAATGAGATTTAATGTCCCCCGCTTTCGCGAAAACTGGGGACAAAAACAACTGTTTTACATTCAAATCCGTTTTTTTTACCACTTTTAGCTAAAAAAAATAGTTTCTATTCACAAGTGTAAGATCATTTCTGTTGTACTTGTATTAAACATCCATCTTTTATTTCTTTAATCATATTTACAGGGAAAAAAAATTAATAAGAATTTCCAGAAATCAGTGAAAATTGTGTTATTTTTGTATTGACCCCAAAATGTCTTTATAGTGGTTTTTTCATCAAAATATGTCTGAAAAGGTGTGATTCAATCATAATTCTTTTAATACTTATAATATTTTGTCCATTATGGTTGGGGCATATTTAGGGTCTTAATGCCCCTGATTCTTTGACACTTTCTATCTTTCTCATACTATTTTAATGAAATACTGTAAATGTTTTATATTTTGAGTGTACTATATTTGGCGGAACTTGATATTTTAATAAGTTAGTGTAGGTATGATTTAGCGCATTTTAATGTTTTATGTTTAAGTCAGTTAGTGTTGTACTTAAATTAGCGGATGTTTCTTTCCGCCAAAAAGCTAAAAAGAATACACCGCCGAATGTTACACGTGTACACTACAGTAATAAATCTGATTTGCAAATTATGTCTGAGAAAAATCATTCTCCTTTATATCTTGCATGTAACACTAATTTAAAAACTAAGTGACAATTGGAAATGTAAATTATAATAATATATAGGTCTTAAGCTCCATACTCCTCCAATGAACATTTTATATACATGTATGATAATATAAGTCATCAATTTTTTTAATTTATTTCTCTTTTTCCATAGTGCATGCAGGTCTCATATAATATTTTATGGGTTTTATTAATGTATTCTTTAATTTACACGAACCTATTTTCATTCTGAATCTCAATTTGTATTATATATTGCAGTACTATTGTGTATTTCTTAAAACTGAAGAATTGATTCTATAATAGGGATTTGTCTAGTTACCCTAATTCCTGCATCATTCTCTACTTTAAAGATAAAGACTTGATGTCTTCCTGGCCCCAGCTCACATTGTAATTGTTATTAATCACTGCCAATCATATATGCTCATGGAAAACTAGCTATAGGCGATCAGCTCTGGCAACTATCTGTCCCCTGTGACTTCATGGACAGTAAAGATCAGTGCTAATGCTATGATGACTTGATCGTGTTATAGATAAACATGTCTCTGCAGTCAGAAGATTGAAGCAATTTACATTGTAGAACAGAACTCAAACAGTGAGAGAATTAAGACCTTGTTAGAGTTTTAAATTTTACTCCTTAAAATTTGGATAGTTTCAATATATTTAAAAAACAAAAAATGTAATGAAACTTATATACGCTGTAAACCTTTACTAATTATTCTAGTTCGGGAATAACAAATCTCAGGCTAAAATCTGGTTTGAACATATTAAATGCAAAGAAACATTCCACAGAATTATTTTGTAAAAAAAAATAATAATAATGTGAAAACAACATCTCCTGCACTCAATTGTAAGATCTTAAGGAAGCAGGAATAAGAATCCATATTTCCAAAAAAAGCCCTTAAAAATGTTTTATTGATTTAGAATATTTTATTAAATTATAATCACATGTATTAAAAGAAATTTTGTACTGAGTAATACAGTTCTACAATTTTTTTATTTTTATTGATTGGCAATTGCTCATCTTCCTTCCCCCTTTTTAAAAGTTAGATACTTTGATTATGAAACTATCTTTGATTTAATTGTTGTTTTGAACATATTTTATTGAACGAGTCAAATGGATTGGAAACAAGTTCTTGCAACTTACAAGTTCCTCTCCATAAATATAACAATATGTCATGCAAAAAATACATTAAAATATAATAATTTTAATATTTTCAAGTGATGCAATTAAATTACAAATCAATTTAAAATCTACATGTTTCAGTAATAAATCTATGGACAGCAGAAAAAATATTAATATTAATTGATACAGGCAAATCTCTGTCACCCCGTAATAGTAAATTAGTGTCAATTGTAACCAATTTATTTAATTGTTAATTTCAGAAACATGCACTCTGAATTTCACAGATTTCCTATATCTTGGATTGCAGTGTGGGTCATTTGGGATTTAATAATTTAGCCAGCTGCAGCAAGGTCAAAAGTCTATGTTATCTGTAAAACTCGAGGTCAATTTATTTAACCCCGGTCTTATCTGCTTTCATTATGTAGAAATAAATTAAGAAGATTTTCTTCAACTCTTTGAAATTACATTCACCAACACTGGAACACTGAGTTTCTAAGAATAAGAATTTCATTGGTGTACATATCAGGCATGTGTTATAAAAATGAACCTTTCTTATGAAACTGAATAGTGCATTTTTCTCCGCTTAAACCTAATAAATAAATAAAACAAAATTATGGCTATATGCATAAAATGATGGAAGTATCAACTAGTGAAACCGTTACTCGTATTTTTAGTAATACTATTTTTCTTTTATCAGGAACCGGACACTGAGTACACAAGACGTGATCTGCCGATCGATAATACATATAAAATGTTTAACTAATATACAATTTTTCAAGATCTGAATTATAAATACTTATTTATACTTAGATAATGCATATACTTAAGTTATTGTTAAAGTATTAAACTACATGTAATCCTTAACAATAGGTGTATGTAGGAATATAAATAAGATGGCCCCTTTGGATTTTTTTAGAATAAAATATATTTTTCAGTGGGATAGTGATAATTGACAACTAAAAGAAACTTCATATTCACTATTTTGGACTGCATTCCACTTTGATTAATATTAAATATCTGTTAAAACAATTAATGCAATACATAAAATGTGAGTTTGTAATAAATTATTTATTTTTTTTTTTTAGAAAAGATTAATATATAGAATGACAAAAAAACCTTTGATATAAAGGTTTTGTAATAATTGTATACGTGTACTTAAGCTTTGATCATAATCCTTGCAGTTGACAACACAACAAAATATGCCCAGAATTTTTATAAAAATAGAAAAAAAATTTCCCGGTAAATTGTTTCAAAAAAGTGCTTAAATCTTTTATAATTAGTTTTTTTTTTTTTTTTAATTTTATCCTTATTATTCTAACTGCAGCATATAGTTTAAAAAGATACAATACTGAGTATAATAATTTATTGAATTTGTGTCTTTTTTCCATAATATTTCAAGATAACCAATTTATAGTAAAATTTTAACTTTAACTTAAAATTTTAATTTTTTTTTAGCAGGGTATGATATCAGACAAGGTCACTATATTGCTAGCAAAGAAAAACACATGATTTTAATATATTAAGTACTCCTGTTCATACACACAAGTAAAAGAGCTAACAATATCTTGGGAAAGAATAAACATTTGACCAGTGACCACTTAGTGAAGCCGACGAAGCGATAATTGTCTCAGAGTTAAAGATTTCAGCATTGGCTATACATAAACAAACTATACGGCTCTGTTTCATCTAAACACATTAATTCTTTGACACACTAGATTATTCCTTTGAGCCTCGTTGAATGTGTTCTGCTCTGCTCTAAAACCATCAGAATTAACAGTGCTGAGCATCTAGTCAAGCACGGATGATTTTTGGATTGAACTAGGTGAAACACAGCTATTGTTCTCTTTATCAAATCAATTAACGTTTTATTTAAAAAAAAGTAAATAAGACACTGACTTGGCATATAAAATATACCTGAGGTCTGTCCAAAACTTTAATTCAAAAAAGAGTGTACGTCTCCTATCAATAATGTATAGTTAATACATGGACATGTTAAATCATGCCAGTTTACAAATTAAAAATATACCCGGTAATACAAATTAAAAACACTACATAAATATGTATATTTTGCATATTTTTAGAAAGTATATAGGATACGTTCAGTGGCAAGGGGGGGGGGGGAGGGGGTAATTTTTTAAGGAGCAAATTCTCCATCAAAGTTTCCTGTGTTAGGAAGCCAAAAAAATTAGTATGGGCATGGACCCCACTCATCCTTACTCCCATCCCCCAAATGAATAATAATAATAAAAAAAATAACAAAATACAGTAAAACATGATTTTTGCCAACACACTTATGTTGAATTGAGTTACAGCGAAGTGCTTTTATTCCCTGTGACTTAATTATGTATTTTTATCTTCATAAAGAATTTCGCTCATAATAATGCAAAATCATCTATCGATCCCTGGCACTGCTTTTTAAACATGTTTTACTTGTATTCAATATAATTAATCTATTTTCTGCCATGTACAGCATTTGAAAACATATATTATATACATGTAGGAATTAATCGAATTTCTAATTTTCCCAACTAATAATGAAAATTATGACTACGGTACTTACTTGATTTGTTTAGGACACTTTAATCATTTCTCTGAAATGTTGCTGCAAGTGGTGTCATGAGGGTATTCGTTTTCTTTTACATTGAAATCCAGGGCATATCATTTTGTCTAAAATTAAAGTAAATTTCTCATTTTAATTTACTGGTATTTGGAAGTGTCTGACAGCTTATATTTCAGCAGGATTGATCAACTCTGACTAAGTTATTGATAAAATATTTTAGTTTAGTTTTTATGCAAACAAAGCATACAAAGAATTTTCATAAATTGATAATAATATTATTTGCATATATACCTTAATAAATCCTTAACTGTGAAGAACTGCAACATCCTGTTTAATTCAACAATCGTTCGATGTGATATTTTGGTAGAGTTGAGAGATGGATGTGTCCAAGACTGATAACACACCCAAGATTATCAGTGTGCAGTGTTTTGATTGACATTTCTTCAGTTAGTGGCACCACATGTTTCCATTCAAATATGTATGGAAGGGTCGCAGTTGCACATGTGAACAGCTATCATATAAATGCAACTGTTGTTTGAAGGGGAATTCGAAATTGGAGAAATTAGACATCGATATATCTTTGTGTTATACTGTGATAAAGTCATATATAATTAGTTTTGGTCAAAAAACTGCGTGATGAAGTAAGTAGAGACACATGCATGATTTTTAAATGTCAATGGATGTTCAACTTATAGAGAATTTACTGGTCAATGCACTGACTTTTCATAAATTAATTTTGGATGAACTATACTAAGAAAGCTAAGGGTAAGATTCCTTTCCTGAAAGATTTTTTCATTTAATAAATATCATAAAATTTCAATTGTTAAAGAAAATTGTTAAATTTAGGGTAAGAAAGCATTGCTGTATACAACAGTTTTATATCATAAAAGTAAATGCAGGGGATCAGGGGAATGGTATAACTTTTTTGATCGATTCCTTTTTGTAGATTTATGTCTTTTGCACGATTCAAACAGTTGCCCTTTTTTCTCATTTAAAATAAAAATAAACATGTACTCTTTATTCAGCATGAGATATACATTTCTATATGATATCCAGAGAAGTGACCTCAAAATAAAATGTGATCATGTACATACTCCTAAAGGATTGGTACCAACGAGTTAAATGTCTGTAATAATAAGAGGCTTTTCACAAAATTGAGTGAAAAATGATTTCCTAAAATATTAATTGTCAAGAATGACACGTACTTGATCTTGTAATCGAGTTATGACCCCCAAATTAAAAGTTGTCATATATTTCTTAGGAGGACTACAGATCTTGTGCTTTCACCTTGTAACCCAAAATCAGTAGGGGTCTTTATTCCTTTGGGAGTACCAGTATACTACGTTTGATGTCTGTAAAGCAAAAGGTTCCCAAAATTTTAAGCAGACATTATTTTTCTGTGCCAGAATAGTCTCAACCTTGAAATTTGACTTTATGAAATCAACAGGATTATCTACTCTTTTACGTTAGGGAGTGCCTGGGTGTTCAGCTTTCTTCAAATCCAATTATACTCTGATTCATGTATAAAGTTATATAATAACATTTGAAATCAGAAGAGGAGTATTCGACATGAATCCATTGTCAACAGTTGGAAGAGAAATGTTTGTCCAGTCCAGTGTCAAATTTTGAAATGGGGAGAGGAACGTTCATAGTATTAAGAGTCATGGTAGTAGTGTTTTGATAGGAATTGGTAGAGGAATGTTCCTCAAATGTACTGTTAATATACATGTAGTATGTATTATCAATTGAAATTGACTGATGAACGTTTGTGATATTGTGTGTTAAAACTTGTAAATACAGTGTCAAGTTGAAAGAGGAACGTTCCTCCAGTGTATATAGTATCAATTTTTTTTATATTGGATGAGGAACGTTCCTCAAATATGTTGTGTTTAGACTAGTATATCCAGTGTCAATAGTTTGAAGAGGAACGTTCCTCCAGTGTACATGGTGCATATAGTATCAATATTTGAAATTGGAAGAGGACCGTTCCTCTAATGCCTAATATTTGAAAATTTATGAGATGCCTACGGTAATAAGTAAATTTGAGAGATGAATGTTCCTCAAATGCCTGATGTGTTCATTCATAAGGTATTTAAAAATACACACTGTATGTGCACATCTGTAAGAGAGGAATGTTACTCAAATGTCTGGTGATAATAAATGCATCTTAGTTAAGAGAGAGGAACGTTCCTCAAATGTCTGTTCATAACAAATGCATCAGAAGTACAGAGAGAGGAACGTTCCTCAAATCTCTGGTCAGAACAAATGCATCTGAAGTTCGAGAGAGGAACGTTCCTCAAAAGTTTGGTCATAACAAATGCACCAGAAGTTCAGAGAGAGGAACGTTCCTCAAATATCTCGTCATAACAAATGCATCTGAAAAGGAGAAAGAGGAACGTTCCTCAAAAGTCTGGTCATAACAAATGCATCTGAAGTTCAGAGAGAGGAACGTTCCTCAAATCTCTGGTCATAACAAATGCACCTGAAGTGTAGAAAGAGGAACGTTCCTCAAAAGTCTGGTCATAACAAATGCATCTGAAGTGTAGAAAGAGGAACGTTCCTCAAAAGTTTGGTCATAACAAATGCACCAGAAGTTCAGAGAGAGGAACGTTCCTCAAATCTCTGGTCATAACAAATGCATCTGAAGTGTTAAGAAAGAGGAACTTCCTCAAATATCTCGTCATAACAAATGCATCTGAAGTTCAGAGAGAGGAACGTTCCCTAAATCTCTTGTCATAGCAAATGCATCTGAAGTGTAGAAAGAGGAACGTTCCTCAAAAGTCTGGTCATAACAAATGCATCTAAAGTTTAGAAAGAGGAACGTTCCTCAAATACTTTAAAAAAAATCTTCAGAAAGGGAACTTGTGGAGACACATATAAGGATTTTAAGACCAAAATGACTTCAGATTGTAAACGTTGGGTGAAAAAAAAGGAATTTTGATTTTCCCTTTTTGTTTTGGATTGTGTTAAAAGGATAATTGCCCAAAGTCGAAAATCCTAACGTTTTCAACTACCAAATCGTTCAATATCCATTTTTAAGCTTACAATACCATATATCATCCCTCATATTACTTTACTTTAGTATAAAGTGTAGGGGCGACCAACCTTTCAGTGAAAATTTTCAATAGTTAAAGTATTGTTGCCCCCTCCCCATGTTGCTTAGTCCCTAATGATAAAAAAATAAATTAATGGGCACCCTGCCATAGGGTTGAATTCACAAACACACACACCCTCACATACACAAAATAAGGAAACCTGATTTTAATAAACGTGTTATTAGTTAAGTAAATTAAGCAAAGAAAATACATCTTGACCTATATTGAGAGCAATGCATGTTCAATAATAATAATTTCTAATGAATTCTACAGTCTTATCAAATGACTAGTGTATGGATTACAAGTAAATGTAAATATTTTGTTTGAGAAAATAATTGTTTCCAGAAAGACTGAATGGATGTCGCCCGCTAGCTGTTCAGGTTCCCCCTCCCCCTGAGTTCATAAAAAGTGAAATATTAAGCAAACACTCGCTCATAATGCTAAACACCACTGCTGAATCCATAATCTATATACATTTAACTATTAGAAATTATTTATAATTAAAAAAAAAAGATTAGAAATAAAATATTGCACATGTGCAAATATTACCGGGTAAATTTTATGTAAAGTTCTACTAAATACCGTAGTAATATTACAAAAGAAAATCATTTTACGTTCACTCTGAAAACGTTTGATGTTGTTGAAAAACACGACATCATTACGAATTTGTTATCTTTGTATTCAAAAAAAAATCATATTTGACAACTTTTAATCTTACTCTACCAAAATCCGTGAAAAACTCAAAATACAGAAAAATTGCAAAAAGTGCACTTTTTCCATGGGCGCAATCAATTGTGTGATCAGTACTATTTTTACTTTAACATTTAAAATCCCCGGGTTGCTATACGTTCTTGGAATTGGCTTTATTTGTACAGGTTGATTAAAATACCATGAATGAATAAATGAATTTATTATTTTAAAACATCAATGTCAAAAATAAAACGTTACAATGCATCAAATTATTTACGTGTTCAGCGACAAACACACGGTTGCTGAACGGACACGCTGTCATTTTCACTTGTACATGTACATATGCTTGTTTACACCTAACGCATTATAATTTCAAATTAATTAAGTTATCTTTTATTTTAATATATTGTAATATACATTTTTGTGAAATTCTCATCAATCAATAAATATTTACCACTTTATTTATGAGAACTCAGATGTGTTGAAATTCACAACGTCATTATGACGTTTTAAGACCTCTAACAGAAAATATAAAAGAGATATCGAAAAAAGAAAATTGGTTTGACAAAATATACAGTCTGTAGAAATACCTAGAGGTAAAATTGTCCTATTTTGAAAACTGGCGAATTTGTGTACTTTCTGACTCAAGCTCTTTAGCATCTATTCATTTTTGAAACAGTCCCTTTTTTTTAAAGTAAACAAATTATTATGGAATATTCGGACAATAGCAAGTTATTCTCTCCCTGTCAAGCACATTTTTAATAGGCTTAATTGTATAAAGAAAAATAATTTATTACTTGTTGACCAATGAACTAGCTATTGTCCTTAGATCAAATTAAATGTTGATAATATTCTAGTCTGTATTATGTTTTCATAATTGTTATGAACTTGTATATTTGCGTGTTATTTTCAAAATTAAATCATAAACACATAATGTTGTTGGCAGATCTAAAAAAAAGGCAACAAAAAAAAAAAACAAACAGAACAAAAAACGTTGGGAAAAGACAGAGAATAAAACTAGAGCAAAGCTCGTTGCAAAGCAACGAGTAGGTCTTCCGTCCTGTTTTGACCGGAAGTGACGTCAACAAAAGAAAGCAATGAGCTAAGTCGTCTCCAGTCAATTTATAATTTTAATTTTGCATCAAAACCTTAATAAATAAGCAATGATTGGTTACTTCCAGTTTGACCGGAAGTGACGTCGCTAGACAAATTTTGAAGACTTTAATAGATTGCGCTTGAAATTTTGAACAACGTTGCTTCTGGGACGTATTACAAATTCTCAATACTTTTTTTTAGATATCCGGAAAAATCTTATGGCCGCTCTAGAGCCCTTAATTAAGGGGTCAGCCTTTTTTTCGAGATATCATTTAAAAGATCTTCTAATTCTGCACAAATTTTGTTCTATATGATTTAAAATAATATTTTTAGTTTAGAAGATAAAAAGCAAAATATGAGTAATTTTTGTCTCTTTTAAGCGTTATAATTTTTTACCCCTATATAGAGCCATAAGAATATAAAAATTGAAAAACAAAAACAGATTTGCACAACTTCAATCCTTTTATTATCTTAAATCAGTAGAATTTTTGCTCCAGCTTTAGCCGTGTCTGAGCCTTTGTCTGGAAACGAAAGCCTAAAACTTTTCGTTTAAAGGGAAATAACTCAAGACCGGAAGTGACTTTTTAAATTTTAGAAATTATTCTGATAGAATTTAGTAACTACCAGTATCTCTGAAAATTTGAGCAAATTCCATTGAGTAATGAGTGAGATATGAGGGTTAAAAGTTGGTGTCTAGGAAGTAG